AAAATTATTTAGCTATTTGTTGTCAAAATACTCTTCAAACATAGTAAACTGACAAGTAAACGAGAGAAATAATAAAGCTAAAAGTGAACACAGCTCAGAAAATGAATCAGAAGAAACACTTGCCCTGACATGTAGTTCAACACAAAAAACACAATCTAATAAAACAAAATCAATAAATGTAATAGTGGAATATGTTATGATAAAAATGATTATTGGTTCCAGTGTGAACTTAATTGATAAAAATATGTTTGAATGCTATTTTTATCTTTGAGATATAAGTTAATTATATAGTTAAATTTAATCATAATATAAATTATAATATAAATTTTTTTCATTTATAACTTTAAAAGGTTTAAAAGGTTTGAAAATAAAATTCCTTATTTAATAGTTAAGAAATCATCAACAGCCATTTTTTCAAAATGATTGATATTTCCATATTTCTTTGAAGCCTTTAAAATAAATAGATTGTAAAACAACCTATTAAAAAAACAAACAAATTAACTACTAACAATATATATATCGTAAATAAAAATAATGTTGGAAACATAATGGGAATTGAAACTGCTAAAGAATTAAATATTTTAAAAATTGCAAAAAGTGCAAAATGTGTGATTATTAAAGATAAATATGTGAATTCAGTGGATAATAAATCAAATGAAGCTGTACAGCACTCTAAAGTGTGTAAAAATATTGATGATAAAATCAAACTCCCAACAAATTAAAATAATAATAATTTTGAGCATATTGATACAGTTTGTAAAGTTACTTTAAAATTCAAAAATAATTTGACAAAGTTAATTGTAAAATATGAAGACATTTGATAGACATGTCTTCATATTTTGAAGTAAAAAACTTTCAACAAACTTTGTTTAGACAAAAATATACAACCAGTTGCGCAAAATTTGCGTTGTTACCCTTATCACCTTCGAAAAGACATTCGAGCATAGTTAAAACAACTCCAAGAAGCAAATATTATTGAAAAAGTTGAAAGACTATAAGAAAGCAAATAAGACAGTAAGGTTATGTCTTGATGCAAGAACTATAAACAAAGTAATTAAATATGAAATATACTTAAAATCTACATTAGATTCGGTAATAGATGAAATGTATGGTTCAAAAGTATTTGCCAAACTAAACATGAAGGAGGCCTATACTTAATTAGAGTTGGATGTCGAAACAAGAAAAGTTACAAAATTTCAAACGGATGAGGGAGTCTACTGACACAAAAGATTATGTATGGATCAACAATTCGTTTGAAATTTTCGAGTAAAATTTATCAGTGACAATATTATAATATTGCATCAGATGAAAAAGACTTATTAAGAAAATTAGAACTTTTGTTCATCAAAACAAGGACATTAAATCTGAAATTAAATAAAATTGAAAATATTTGCTCAAGAGAAAATATTATTTTCTCTTGAGCAAATACAAATACAAATAGTTGTCTGATTAATTGCATGACAATCCAATACTTGAACCGTATCATAAATTTCAAAATGAGTTAACTGATCACAAAGGAATCATATTACGAGGTGAAAAAACTGTTTTACCAAAATGGCTTCAAAAAAGAGCTTTACAAATTGTACATGAAGGACATGTGTTGAAAAATGCAAAGGATTATTGCAACAAAAAGTTTACTGGGTCACTATAAATACTGATATAGAAACATACATTGAAAAGTGTTTTGGATGTCAAGCAAATTCAGTTGTTTTAAATCCTAAACCAATCAAAATATTGAATTTACCAGAACATGTTTGGGATAAGTTAGCAATGAATTTTTTGGACCATTACTGTCAGGAGAGTATTTATTTGTTATAGAAGAGAGTATATATTTGTTATAGAAGATTGTTATAGAAGATTCCAGATTTGTTGATATAGTGAAAATTACAACAGCTTCAGGTATCATAGGTAAACTAGATTATTTGTTATATTTGGTCATCCAAACAAAACAAACCTAAAATCCTAACAAAATTAGAAGTGACAATTGACCACCATTTTAAAACAAGGAATTAAAACTGTACTTTTAACATGTTGACATTACACACATTAAAATAACACCTCAATATCTGCAAGCAAACGGATAGTAGAAAAGTTTATGCAAGTGATAGGAAAAACAATTAAAACAACTCATTTTATGTGGAAAAATTGAAGAGAGGAACTTCAAAGCATGCTTTGAAATTATAGATGTGCACGTCATGCTACAACTGGCAAACCACCAGCTATGTTATTATTCAATAGAAAAATCAAAAATAAGTTTCCTTCAATAATAATTGAAAAATTACCATATGACAAAGAAGCGAGAGAACATCAAATTAAAAAGTATAAAAAAGTAAACGAATATTTTGATATGAAACATCATACAAAAAAGAGAGATGACATCAAGGTAGGAGATCAGGTTCTTGTAAAATGCCATAAAGCAGAATGAAAATTAGATTCAATATTTAAACAAGAAATATATAGCTAAAGAAAGAAAGCAAAATTTAATCATTGTAGTTGATCAAGAAGGAAAAAAAGAGTTGGCACGTAATATGAAATTTATAAAAAAACTCCTAAAACCTGAAGCTGAAAGTATACAACCTAAAACACCAATAAATAATAACAAAAGAAAAACAGTTGAAAGAAAATCATATCCTAAGCAAATTAATAGACAAATAATGTTTTACTATTAAACATTTAGATTTATTTATTTTAGTAGTTATAGACGTTTTTCCAAACAGAGGGAACTGTTGAGAGTTGGCAACGAAATACATAACATTTTATTTTTATGTACGCATTTATGTGGAAAGTTTAGAACTTGTGAATTAGTAAGAAAGATTATGTAGTGCATTTTGATTGTTTATATATTACTCGTTGTAATGTATATATGTTATTATGATAAATCTTGAATTAAATAAAATAAGAGTTTGTAGTTATATATTTAAAGTAGAAAACACAACAGGTTCCATTTTTTGTTGGCCAATATGTGTTTGAGTTTTTTGATAAGAGAATGTCCTCTCTGAAAAGGGGAAGAATTTGCAGTTGTGATTAAGGTACCAATTATTTTTCTTGCATTTGGTTAGCAAAAAGTTTGCTGGTCAGTTAAAGTTGACTGCGTTTGGTTGGTTTAGAAGGGGCACAAAGAGTGAATGAATGAATGAAAAAATACAGTTTTCACAGAAGATTTTTCAGCATTCATTGGCCTGTAAGTTTTGGTCTTTAAATAGATTTACTCAATCATTTGGGAGAGTTTCTTGCTTAGTTTGGTGTAGTTACCTTTTTTATAAATGAATTTAGAGCTGTTAAAAAGGGGATATTTTGAATTTTGCAACATCATTTAGATTATTGAAATAAATTGTTATATGTTGGGTAATTATCTAATTAAAAGTTACAGAAGTATCAGTTTTTATAAGTTTCAATAGAGAAAAATGCAAGTTTGAAACCATTATTAAAAATAATAATATTATGTTAAACAATTTATTGTAAGGATTGTTTTGATTGTGTTTCGCTAAGTGAGAGTTATAAAAAAGTTTTTCATTTCCGCAGTCTGTTAGCCATTCAAGTTTGACATTTTTTTTTCATTTCTGCAGTCTGTTAGCCATTCAAGTTTGACATTTTTTTTTCATTTCTGCAGTCTGTTAGCCATTCAAGTTTGACATTTTTTTTTTATTTCCGTAGTCTGTTAGCCATTCAAGTTTGACATTTTTTTTTCATTTCGGCAGTCTGTTAGCCATTCAAGTTTGACATTTTTTTCATTTCCGCAGTCTGTTAGCCATTCAAGTTTGACATTTTTTTTTCATTTCCGCATTCTGTTAGCCATTCAAGTTTGACATTTTTTTTTTCATTTCCGCAGTCTGTTAGCCATTCAAGTTTGACATTTTTTTTTCATTTCCGCAGTCTGTTAGCCATTCAAGTTTGACATTTTTTTTTCATTTCCGCATTCTGTTAGCCATTCAAGTTTGACATTTTTTTTTTCATTTCCGCAGTCTGTTAGCCATTCAAGTTTGACATTTTTTTTTCATTTCCGCAGTCTGTTAGCCATTCAAGTTTGACATTTTTTTTTCATTTCTGCAGTCTGTTAGCCATTCAAGTTTGACATTTTTTTCATTTCTGCAGTCTGTTAGCCATTCAAGTTTGACATTTTTTTCATTTCCGCAGTCTGGAGTTGCTAGTTCTTTAAACACTCTCTCTTCCTGATTTTCTTTTGTTTTGGTTTTATCAGTATAGATTACACCCTGCAAAAAAAAAATACTCATTTTTAACATCACAAGTCTCCATATCATAGTTAACTAGTGTATATGTTGATTAAAAAAAAGGATTTAATTGTTCATCTACTATTAAGTTTCCTGTATGCTTACACATCTGAGATAAAATTGCATTCAATATTTTTAACCAAATTTAAAGGATCTTCCAATTACATTTCAAAAAAATAAAAATACAACATCAAGAGGGTTATAATGTGTGCCTTGTGTTTGGAGGTGAGCAAAGTTGAATTATATGATTATCCTGAGCTTTTTAAGGACCTTTTTAATGAGCTTTTTTAATTGTGGAATATGTTAGATGGCTACAATGTCCATCTCACAGCAATAAAAACTTTACAAAATCCTTTACATGTACAATAAACCTGTCAATTTAACAAAAACATAGCAAGAACATAATAAAAAACATAGTTGCCCATCCAAACTAATTTTATTACACCATAGTTTTTCTGGTCTATTTTTACACCACGCATCAAAAAGGTAGATGGGTTTGTGAACTACAAAACAAAGTTTTTTCAAAGTTATTTTAAAAACTATATTCATGTTTTTAATTTATGAAATAAAAAATATTTTTATAAATTTTTATAAAATTAAAAGGTAGATGGGTTTGTGAACTACAAAACAAAGTTGACACTTTTTAATTTATGAAATAAAAAATATTTCAACTTTTTATAAAATTTATAAAGATTTAAACTAATTTCGATAGAAATTTAAATTTTTTCTTAAATAATAAGTTGGAAAATGTCTTTTTTTTTATCATTTAAGATCTATCAACCTTTAAATAAATGTGCAGTCAACAATGTCAGTTTAAAGATTTATGAAAACCAAGTATCAGTTTTACTTGGTCACAATGGAGCTGGTAAATCATCTATTATGTCTATACTAACAGGAGTTTTGCAGCCAACATCTGGAACAGCTTTTATAAATAATACTAATATTTGTACAAACATTAAAAAAGCCCTCAAGGGTCTGGGCTGGTGTCCACAAAATAATGTTTTGTTTGACAAACTAACAGTGGAAGAGCATATTTTATTTTATGGAGAGTTAAAAGGATTAGCAAAGCAGAAAATTTGTTCAGAAGCAGAAAGGTTTTCATTATTAATTTTTTAAACAGTTTTCTTTATTATTGAGTTTGTTGAGTTGTTATATATACATATGTATATATATATATATATATATATATATATATATATATATATATATATATATATATATATATATATATATATATATATATATATATATATATATATATATATATATATATATATACATATGTATATATATTAATAAATACATATGTATATATATATAAATAAGTATATATATAAATGTATGTATATACACACACACACATAATTGTATTTCTTTGTGTATGTATATACACAAAGAAATACAATTATTTCTTAAAGTTTTCTGTGTTTTAAAATATTTTCTGACTTGTAATTAAACATCAATCATCTATAATTGTTTTTTTTTCTTTTGTTAGACAACAGCATCAATCAACATATAGCTTATCTTTCTGAAATAAAGTTTAGTTGCTCATAAGAGCTAACTACCTTTCTTTTACACTCATTTCAAATCAAGTTAGACTAAAATTGAATAAAAAGAGTCATGTTTACGTTAGAAGAACTTTAGAGAGTCGTGTTCTTGTTGGAAGAACTTAAAAAGAAAAACTCCATTGATTAGAGGTAGTATGCTAAAATATTCTTTTGTCAGCACTGCTAAGTGTGAAGACTTGGTATAGTTATTTCTTCAATTTAACAACTATATTCACAAGGTCGCATCTCTGTTTTGGACTCTGTTCCATTGTTGCAAAAGTTGCATTCAAGTTACATTTCTTTTTCTTTTCCATTTATACTACCATACTTGCTACTCAAGTATTTTTTATCAACCATTAACCTAAACTCAATCTTCCATGACTTGTCATTCAGCAAAACATCCTTTTACTGAATCTATCCCTTCACACTCTAAAAATATTTATTCTTATTTATTTTTTTTGAACACACATCTAATGGTTTGGAACTCTCTCTAATATTTCTTTGACTCATATAATTTACAAATTTTCTTCTGTTAAAGGCTTTCTTGCTTTTTAACAATATTTTTGTTCTCTAGTAACTCCCAACACAAGTAGTGGTTGGTTGGAGCCTTATTAAGAGTGAATTATTAAAAATATATATAAGTTGATAACAAAAAAGTTGTATTGCTTTAACCAAAAAAACACAAGGAGTAGAGGCAATAATATGCAACATTCTCTATGTTGAAGGAAACAGGAAACAATTTAACACAGGTTTACATCTACACTAGCTTATTAGTTTAAGAAGAAATGAAAGGATATGCAACACAAAGTTGCTGCCTATTTCTAAGTCTTTATTTAGGCTTTAAGCCTTCTTGGCATACTGGATGAAGTTAATATTTGCAATGAGTTTTTTTTTCAAGACATTTCTAGTTTTTAGTTAACCAAAAGCTTTGGGATTTTTTAAGTCACAGGTAATTTCTTCTAGCTTTTTTCTAGAAAAGTAGGTCCTAAATGGCTGTAGAAAATGCAACAGAATTACAAATACGAGTACCAGGGTGAATATGATTATCTGGATCCTGACCTGATCAGACTTCAATTGATTGAGTTGAGGGAGTTGAAGTGATGTTTTTTGATTGTAATGTTTATATTTTAAACTAATGTTTACTATTAACATAATTATACAGTTTTATATTTTTTTACCAAAAACATTAGACCTCTTATAGTTATTATAGTTAAATACAAATAGATTTGAAATAAGCGTGTTGGTAACACACTAAAAGTTAAGCGTGTATACTATATATATATATATATATATATATATATATATATATATATATATATATATATATATATATATATATATATATACATAAATATATATATAGTATGTACACTATATATATATATATATATATATATATATATATATATATATATATATATATATATATATATATATATATATATATATATATATTATGTATATATATATATATATATATATATATATATATATATATATATATATATATATATATATATATATATATATATATATATATATATATGTATAAATATATGTATATATATATATATATATATATATATATATATATATATATATATATATATATATATATATATATATATATATATATATATATATATATAGCATGAGCTCGAATACTGACTAGATGTTTGCAGAATAACAGGCAATTTTTCAATTCAAACTCATATTGAACATTTATGAATAAAACTAGCAAATATTTGTACTTTTCTTTTTAAGTTTAACCAATAAATAACCCTGTGTATATATATATATATATATATATATATATATATATATATATATATATATATATATATATATATATATATATATATATATATATATATATATATATATATATATATATAGCATGAGCTCGAATACTGACTAGATGTTTGCAGAATAACAGGCAATTTTTCAATTCAAACTCATATTGAACATTTATGAATAAAACTAGCAAATATTTGTACTTTTCTTTTTAAGTTTAACCAATAAATAACCCTGTGTATATATATATATATATATATATATATATATATATATATATATATATATATATATATATATATATATATATATATATATATATATATATATATATAGCATGAGCTCGAATACTGACTAGATGTTTGCAGAATAACAGGCAATTTTTCAATTCAAACTCATATTGAACATTTATGAATAAAACTAGCAAATATTTGTACTTTTCTTTTTAAGTTTAACCAATAAATAACCCTGTGTATATATATATATATATATATATATATATATATATATATATATATATATATATATATATATATATATATATATATATATATATATATATATATTTATATTAGAGATGTGCCAAAACCAGTTAATGATGAGTTGCCAATTCTGGGTATCCGGAAAATAATACCGAGTCCAAGTCCAGGTACCTGGGTCCATTTTAAAAAGTTGGAATATATGCTTGTGAAATCTCTAGCGCTGAATTGTTTTAAAATAACGCTAATTATTAAATTAATTAAGTTAATTAATTAACTAAGGCACTAATTAAGTTTGCCTAAATATATTAAGTTTCTTTTTGATAAACAACTAGATTTAAATTTGGTTGCAAATTCAAATTATTCTAACTAAAGTGTAAACTTGATGTCTATAAATATTCTTTCTCCCTCAGGGTTGTTAATATTTAGAATAACTTTCCCTCTGATGTTGTTAATGCCAAAAAACATTAATAAGCTTTAACATCAATAAGATGGCTTTAAAACCAAAACTAACTCTATCAACTTTAAAAAATACTTTTCAATAAAATTTTTGTTTTAAAATAGTGGTATTTCATATAATATATATATTTTTTGTAATTTATCTCTAAATAATCACTAATATGCGTTAAGTAATCAAAAGTTATGTTATGAAAAAAAAAAGATTAAGAGAGAGAGAATTTCAAAAAAAAAAAATTGTAGACCTTCTCGACAGTATGAATAAAATAAAATATGTATTTATTGAGTCTAAAAAATGTATCTATATTGAGTAAACAGGTTATTAACTTCATAATAATCTTAGACTTACATCAATTTATTTTTTGAAGTTTAAACTAAAGCAAATATATTTTTATATGCCATAAAAAATCCTGTTAATAATATTTCTACAAAATTTAAAGTACTACTTAAACAAATATTACCAAATTAACAAAAACATTTAAACAAATAGTTACACCACTTAAGGTTAATGTTTATTAAAGGTTTATTTTAAGATATTTGATGCCAGCTACTGCAACAAAAAGGTTGATTCAAAGTACCTGGTAAAACTGCCAAGTTACGAGGTCCCCATTACATTACTGATATATTAATATAATATATGTATATACAGATTTATAAATAATATATATATATATATATATATATATATATATATATATATATATATATATATATAAGTTTCTATGTTGCCACTAGCATATATATATATATATATATATATATATATATATATTTAGCTAGTGACAACATAGAAATTTATTTGTCACAGTTTTGGAGTGCTTTTAATGTCACCATTTCACATTAATGTCACAGTTTTGGAGTGTTGAAACTACATAAGTAAATATATTTTTCTGGAATAATTTTAGATTTTTAACTGATGTTGGTCTTGAAAAGAAGCGTAATGAGCTTTCATGTAACTTATCTGGTGGTATGAAAAGAAAACTTTCGATAGCATTAGCATTTATAGGAAAATCAAAAGTTATTATTCTTGATGAGCCAACATCAGGTGTTGACCCTTTTGCAAGAAGAGGGATCTGGGATCTCATATTAAAGTATAAAGCTGGTTAGAATTTTTTTAAATTCTATAACTATAAATATTTTAACAGTTATTAATTTTTTATATTATCATTTTGTAATTTCAATTTAAGTAAACATATGGAAACATCAACATGATTATCAAAGTAAAACCATCCATAAAATATAAATGTAGAGTAAATTATAAATAAATAATAAATTAAATAAGTATGTAAATATATATTTATACATAAAAAAACTGTTTTAAATAATATGAATATTAAATGGCAATTTTAAATTAACTTTTTTTTTTTTAAGGCCGAACAATTCTTCTTTCAACTATTTTTTTTTTAGGCCAAACAATTTTTCTTTCAACCATTTTTTTTTTAGGCCGAACAATTCTTCTTTCAACCATTTTTTTTTTAGGCTGAACAATTCTTCATTCAACCATTTTTTTTTTAGGTCGAACAATTCTTCTTTCAACCCATTATATGGATGAAGCTGATGCTCTTGGAGATCGAATAAGTATTTTATCAAATGGTAAAGTTAAATGTAGTGGCTCCTCGTTGTTTTTAAAGCAACATTTTACAAAAGGTTATCGTTTAACTATTTTATTAGATGATAGTAAAAATAATTTGCAATCTTCAAATGAGCTATTAAATTTTGTTTCCTCATTTGTTAATGGTGCTACTCTTGAAAAAGTTTCCAACTTTGAGTTAACATTCAGCTTGCCATCTGAAGCAAAATCAAGTGGGGGGTTTGAAAACCTGTTTATTCATCTAGAAGAATCAAAGAATTTACTTGGAATTCAAAGTTATGGTCTTGCTGATTCATCTATTGAAGAGGTTTTTAAAACAAACAAATAATTTTTTTTAAGACAAACTTTAAGTTACAGTTTTTGAAGTTTTTATAATAACTTTCTACATCTAAACTCACCTTTGGCATTATTAAACAAGTTATAGATATTAAATAGTTAAATACAAGTTATTAAATTTTTTCATAAACATTTCTTTTAATAACAATTTAACTTAATATAACTATTAAAAGCAAATTTTGTGACATTTATACACAAAAAGGTAAAACAAAATAATTTTTCTTTGTCATACACTTTTTTTATTTTTTTAAATGTATTGTGTTTGCTTTTGTTGTTTTTTTTGTTATTTTTTTTTACATTTATTGTTTATTTTAGGTGTTTTTAAATGCTTGCTATGATGAAAGTCTTAAACCAGGTATAAATCTTTTTTTTTTGCTTTATTATGAATTCTTTCAAATTTGATTGTTTTCTTTTTTAATATATATTTTTTTATGTAAATTTACCTCCCCAAAGCTGAGAAGGCCACTACAGACAAGGAGACTACTTTATTGTGGTTATAACTCTGTCTCAACTCTACAACTCTAAACCTTGACGAGCCTTGACAAACAAGGCCGCTGCACGGAGAAACAAGTTAAGTTCGGTATTACCAGGGATATGCAGTCAAAGCATGCACTCATTGAGTTTTTCCTTAAATAATCTCCTAATAAAGGTATTAAAAGATTATTTAAGGAAAACATTTGAAAATTAAATTTTTTATTGTCTAAGGTACCCTCTATTCAAAAAAGTGTTAAAACAATTCATTTTTTCTAAAGTTTTTGAAATGTTATTTCATTATAAAAGTTCTGAAAAATAATGAGAAAAAATGAGATATTTGTTATTAAATAATGATAAATTTTTCCTTTTAAAACCAAGACTTTAAAAGATAATAAGCTAAAATTAAGTCACTTAGTTAATCTTCATGTGAGGAGATAAAAAAACTCATTATAATTATAAACACCAAGAAATCAATTACAAATATTATGTAATGGGTACTTGCCCCAGCAAAAAGTTGGGTTGTACAGTGAATTTTTACCGTAAACAATATTAAATTAGATTTACAATTTTAAATTAGATTAGTATATGTTTAAATGAAAAAAAGTACTTTTGTAGTAATAGTGTATTATTTATAAATTATTTATTTTTTTAACCTAAACAATAATTGTTTAAAAAATGTTTAGAAAATAACCAGAACATACTATATTTCGAGTTCATAAATTTGTTTGAACTTTATTGTTGTTTTTTTAATAAAATTTTCAATTAAAAATTTAACTTTTTTGTTAATTATTTTTTTAGTTATTGGTTTGTAAGCCTATAATTAAATAAAATAAAATTAAAATGGGAAAGTTAAAATAAAAGTAAGTATAAATAATTAATTTATTTTTTATAAATGACCATGGTCAGGATTTTTCTACATTTAAGCAGATTGTCTGAAATAACTTGAATAACTGAATATAAATTAACAAAATTGGTGAAGATTTAGCAGAACTTTATAAACTAAGTAATTCACATTTGAAATATGATACTGTGTGTCTTATTCAAAACATAGCAAAATAAAGTATTTAATCTGGAAACATTGACACTGTTGATGAAGGAAAAGATTAATGGTTCTGACTATAAAAATAAATTACAAGTTCTCATTTTAACTCATAAGTCTTGGACTAAAGAGTATGCTTCTAACTACTTTGTTAGTATAAATGCTATTCAAAAAGCACACCAAATGCACACCAAATGCACACCAAAAGAACAACCAAAGCACATCAAATAAAATGCAAAATCGGTATACCTATACTCCCATTGAACAAAATTAGGAAAAGTGTTTAACCTAATATTGTCTAAATAGTTCAAGGTTTTTTTTAAAAAAAAAGATTATTTAAGTGTTGGCAAAGGAAGAAATAACAGAACACTTGTATTAAAAAGATTGTTTAAGTGTTGCCAAAGGAAGAAATAACAGAACACTTTGAAAAGATTGCTATTATTTAATCTTAAAGAACTGTAAAGTCAATTCAAAATTGTAAATTCTTAATCTATTGTTGGAATTTCTAAATTTTGCAGTCTGTGTCCTAGGTGGTGTGTAAGTGTTGGAGCCTTAGGTGCTCACTTAGTGTGTGTATATGTTTACTATCAAAACGCTTTTCCCTTTTTATAAGTAATAAAATAAAACATAATTAAAAAATATTTTATAGAAAAAATTAGTTTTAGTTGGAGAATCTCAAAACCAATCTTTTATTTTATTAGTTTTTCTGGAAATTATTGATTTTATTATAACTTTTAAGATTATAATATGAAATTTAATAGAACAAAAATTATAACAAATAAAACTGTTTTTTATGTGGTTTGTGACATTTCAAAAAACAATTGTTGTTAATAGATGTTTGAGTTGTCCAGGAACAGATGCGCTGCAACTATTTCTTCTAGTGTTGAAAACTGTTGAACTTATTTAGAGCTTAGTTAATGGTGAAGTGATGAACTAACTGCTTACTCATTTTAAATGTCAAACAAAGTTTCTTAAAAGTTTAAAACTTTAGTTAAGTAAAAAAGAGTTGTGATTGTTAACTTTTCAAAAAATCATGAATATATTGTGTAAGATAAGATCCAAAGTTATACATGGTGTAAATCACATTGCATATACATTCATATACATTCCAAATGACTTCACTTAGTTGTCTTAATATAAAGTAAATTGTATTACTTTACATGAATTGTTTTGTTTATGTCCAATGAAATGTTTTTTTTATCAAATACAACCATTTTATTTAAAAAAATCTACTTTTAATCATTAAATTGTATTACTTTTCTGATGGATGTGAAGCGCAATATAAAAAGTATTTCTGAATCTATGCCATCACTCTGAAGATTTTTCATTGGAGGTTGAATGGACATTTTTGTATTTTTGTATTGCAACCAGTCATTGCAAATCTTTTTGTGATGCAATAAGTAGTAGAGTAAAACAGACAATAGAAAGAGAAAGTTTGCAATGCCCAAATTCAATTATAACAGTTAATAAATTGTTTTAACTTTTCACCCAAGAAATGCAGACAAAGTTCTTTAAAATTGATAAAGAATCTATAGTTAATGTTAAAGCTGTACAAAAAAAAAATAAACTTGAGAAAAGAAAAACACTACCAGGAACTCAAAGAGTTCACAATTGCATACATGTTTTAAAAATATGATGATTACAAACATATGATAAAAACATATGATAATTAAGAACACTAGCAACGATTTAAATACAAAAACTATCAATAAAACCAAAAAATCAAGTTCTCAAAATTTAAGTACAATAAATTTTGAGCTAATCCAGAAGTATGAATCTTATGCATGTATATGTTTTGTTACTATGCATGCAGTAGTTGAAGAAAAAGATGAAGAATTTAATGATATGAAAAAGAAATTAATGCATCCACATGGTCCATCTGAACAGTTTTTCTGGATACCAAACACTTAAAAAAAGTACCAATGATAATATCAGACTTATTATTATAAAATTTCAATAAAAGATTTTAATAAAATCATAAAATGTATACCTTTTATTATAAATATATATTTAAAAAATTTTATATAATTATGCATTGGTTTTGTTTATTTTTTTGAAAAATATGAAAAGCTAAATAGGTTATATTTAATTTTTTTATAAAATTTTTCATTTAACTTTTAAACCATTTATTTTGCAGAAATTTTTTTTTGTTTTTTTTGTACTCAAAACATGTAAATATCTAGTTTTTTAATTATACTGCAAATCCCAACTTTTCACTAGGGCAAGTACCCTTTATTTTGATATTTGTAACTGATTTTTTGGTACTTTATAATTAAAGTGAGTCTTTTATTCATGTATCTAAACTGCTAAAGAATAAATAAGTTACTCATTTTTAGTTTTCTATCTTTTAAATTCTTAATTTTATAAGGAAAAAATTAAATTTACAAATGGCAGAAATAGATCTAGACAATAAAAAAAGAAAAACTTATTATAACTTCTGAGTTCTGAGGAACTTATTATAACTTAACAACTTCTAAGAGTTTTCTTCTAAGAAATATTGGGATTAATCATATTTTATAATATACTAAGGTAAAAACATAAAGAAAATTCAAGATTATAGTGTTGCATTATAGAATTAATTAGAACAAATTTATTTATTTAAAAAAACAGTTATATAATCAAAACACTCCTGCCTATTATTTTGTATTTTTGTTATAGGAATATATATGTAATTAATATATATATATATATATATATATATATATATATATATATATATATATATATATATATATATATATATATATATATATATATATATATATATATATATATATATATATATATATATATATATATATATACCCTGTTTTCCTAATATGTAATTATTTATATGTAATGTAATAAATACATATATATTGTATTTATTACATTACATATAAATAATTACATATTAGGAAAACAGGGTAAATTAGACAATGCCACTTACTTTAAAATGTATCCATCAGATTGCGTCCCATCTAGAATTTGCAGAATGATTAAAGCTCACAAACCAGAAAAAAACTACCCAATGCGTCTTATTGTTTTCACTATTAACACACCACCTTATGGAACATCAGAATATCTGGTTAAAATTATTCAACCAACATTAAATAAAAATACAACTCGACTAATTAATTCAAGTAGTTTTATCAACGATGCTAAAGAATGGAAGATAGGCCCTAATCAAATTCAAGTTTTATTTGATGTAGTGAATTTATATCCGTCTGTACCGATCGATGAAGCAATACCGGTTATTGTTAACATATTGAACGATGATTTGGAGGATTTAAAAACTAGGTATAAATTAACTCTTTTAGATATATGCCAGTTAATTGAACTTTTATTAAGCAAATGTTACTTTTTATACAAAGATAAAATCCAAATTTTACCTAATTCAGGTCCAATTGGTTTATCGTTGATGGTAGTCATAGCTGAAGCATTTTTACAAGATATAGAATAAGGAGCCCTTAATATAGCCTTTGTTAATTCATTCCAACCAATAACTTACAAAAGATATGTAGATGATATGTAGCTCGCTTCGATTTGAAAGAAAAACAAGAATTGTTTCTTAAAACTTTAAATGAACCAAACCCCTCCATAAGATATGTTGAAACGAAAGAAAACAACTAAACTTTTTAGATATTTCTATTACAAATACAATGAACGGATTTTATGAATTTCAAATACACCATAAGGAAGTGATAACCAATGTTCAAATAAAACCAAACTCTAACATCAACCCAAGCATAATAATTGGCGTCTTTAAAGGATTTCTATGTAGAGCAAAACAAATCTGCTCTAAAAAATATCTCTCACAAGAAATTGATTTCTTCATAGATACATTCTTTCAAAACGGTTATAACAAAAGTTATCATATTAAAATAACCAAAAACTATTAAGACGTTTCAAAAAATACTACATCTATACAATTGGATAAGCAATTTGTTAAACTACCTTGGATACCTATTATTGGCCCTAAACTCTGAAGAGAATTTAGAAAACAAAACATCAGAGTTATATTTACTTCAGCCCCTAATTTAAATAACATACTATGCAATAACAAGATAAAACTACCTCCGAACTCAAATTAGGATGTTTACGAGCTTCAATGCTCATGCGGAAGTATATATATTGGTGAGACCAAAAAGAAAATCACTTCAAGAATTGCAGAACACTAAAGAGTCTGTAAAAATCAGAAATGGTCGAGTTCAGGAGCCACAGAACATTCTAGAACATGCTGTGGTACTATTGATTGGCTGAATCCTAAGACCTTGGCAGTCATTTCAGAATACAAGATAAGAAAAGTTAGAGAATCCTTGAAGATAAATGAAGAAAAAGTTTGTCACAAGATAAACTTTTTGGGTATTGGGCAAACTGTTCTAAATTGAGATGACAGGGGTAATGTGAAAACAAAAACTTGGGGACCAATTTTGACAAAAATTTAACTGACGTCACTTTTATATTATTTGATTGGTTTTTATATTTTACACTTTTTAATATCTTCTTTTTTAAACGGT